GTAAACATCTACCAGACTACACAGCGCAACAACCCAGAAGACAGAAATCTTCATACTCACCACCATGAAAACCTCAAATCTTACAGAGTAAATGTATTGACCGGAATGAAAGAGACGCTCTGAAACGATGAATTAAATACATGGACTCCGTTGCGACAACCCAGATAAATCCCTTTAATTGTACGTACTTGACAATAACACAGTTTCTCTGTATGGCAAATAAAGGTCTCTATTAAACCACATCCCTCGCCGTGTGAATTAACTCTATCATTCCACTTCCAGATAAGTTAGAAATACTTACATGTTTATCAGTTACCGTCGTTTCGCAGGTCTTAGTCTTGTTGCCACTACCGACCATCATCGCAGAATGAGGCATCGCAATTGCTAACCGGAATATTTATAGGCTGCCACAGAGCTGTTGGCCTTCATTTAAATATTGTACTAAAATGAACGTGTGTATTCACGATAGTTTTCTGGTTGGTGACACCGTATTGATTTGTAGGAGGGTATCATCTTGAAGGAATAAAATATTACGTCTCAAAATCACACGTATTCTAGGGTTTTTTTAAGCAATACACGTTTGTATGTAATGTTGGCTCACCTTCCTGTGTATGTATCTGTCTATTTATATATGTTACTGCTTTTTCCAATCGAAATTTCTCAAAAGACAACTTAGCTATATATATATATATTAACAAGTTCTTTGGAGTATTCATATTCAGTAAAATTAACATATTTTATTTCGCAGGCCTGTTTCAGTTCGACGCGTTATGCACAATTTTCCTTCTGGATAGAATAGCTCTGTGCACTAAAGAAACAGCTGATGTGCTATGTTGTTTTACTATTAAAAACTGATAAACGTCGAAATCAGTACAAGTGAATATTTTATAGTTTTGTTCGAAGAGTGTCGTCAACCGTACACACATTTTTTGAGGGCACACAATCGAGATCTATAGAAAAGACTGGAGTCAGTTTTGTCTCCCTTAACTGACTTAGCTTTCTTGAGGGGAAACAGTGTGTTTATGAGATTACGAAGTTGCCTATTTGCGTGTGTTCCTTTTAAGTTTTTGATCAGGTATTGAATTGATTTTCACATGACTTAGTATGAATATTATGCTACTGGAAACCACCCCAACTTCATACATTTTTCCTTCCTACAACATTGGTGTCAGACGTTTGAACTCATAATAAAAAAATAGGTCGACGCTTAATGTGGGATGCTAAACTAATGTATGGCAGTATCTTCAAAAAATGTGTTAACTCTATTAATATGTGTTTTCGGACTAAAACAACATGGACGATGCACGAAATCGTATTTAGCTCTTAAATCGATATCACTAACTAATAAGATTCTCGAATATTTTCTGTCAACATTTTTAATTCGATTTCGTAACAGAGTGGATTTATGACAAGCCCCTCAAAGTAAAACAGAAATGGCGATGACGTATAGGTCTGATAAGTATCAAGAAGTTTTCGGTTTATATTTCTGTGGAAGTTATGGCTTGATCTTACAACATTGGCACTACATCCATCCTACGCCCATTACCACTTCCTACCTATTCCCAGTTTATGTTCAGCAAAAATAACTATTCACTACAAACATCTCATAACCACAATAAAGGTGTTTCTTCTTCATTATGTAGTTTTGAAATTTACCCGATGTTTTTTACAGACGTACTCTCTTTTGTACGTACAGTTAAGATCTAAACATTGCATAACTCGTACGGATTTATATATCGGTCGAAGTTAAAATTATTGTCAAGACAATTTTCACTCTGCTGGGTCATCATCAGAGTTTGAATGTTTTAGAATATTGTGAAATATATTTGTTGATAGTCTGTGTTATGTGTTGGTCACCCGAAACTTTAGTAGAGGAATCACTACAGATTGGCAGGTGTACAACAAATAAAAACAAAAATACCTCCTCAGATCAGCCACAGAAGGTACAAACGATCTCGAAAAATTTTCTCTTTTGCTACTGTGTAGGCATGTTTTAGAATGTGTTTTAACGAGTTAGCTATAGAAATTTGTAATAAGCGCTAGGGTATTTCAAGGAGTCTGATTGACGACGTTAGCTAAATGTTTCCTGAAAAGTGTGATAGACCAGAATCTACAGAAATCGTGCACAACCCATCGAAGTGCTGAAAACTGAAGTCACCGCTGTCACAAAAGTACTCGTATTGACTTGGTGACAGTAAAACATTTCCTCATGTGTTGAGGTTCTTACCTACACACGGAAATCCTTTCCTGTTCATGTCCATGTCAGTGTATTAGTTTTTGTCGTCTGCTTACGCTATTGAATATGTTTATAAAATAAATTATTCCCCTTGTGAGGATCTGTGTAATGTATATGTATGAGTGTTTCGACTTGATGTTTGATGTCGTTTCCGTTCATATTACGACTGTCGAAGGAAACAGGAAGTTTTCTCTTTCCGCCATAAAGAAGACTGGCAACTTACCTAACACAAAACCTGTATGTTATAAAATTGCCCTTCCTGAATTTGTCAAATATTGATGTCCTTAATGCGTATATATGTCATTAAGTGTCGGCTAAATACCTTTCTTGCTACACTTTCTAAATTTAGCACAATGTTGCAAATGTAATTTTGTAATATAATTCCAAGAGAATGTGTCTTAGATCAGATTCCACTTTACGCCACACTAAGACGCGGTATTAAGCTTTGAAACCGAGAGAAAGAATGGAAATCATGGTGGTGGCGATAGGCCCTGAATTTGACGTGGAGAAGACAAATTGACGGCTATGAAGGCCCTCGGGCAGTGTTCACTGGTCATTCTGGAAATGTAGGTTTGGTAAAGGCAAAACATTTGGAAGTGGCGGGTATAGAGGTGAAAATGGAGCAGTCTCTTTTATATAATATTTTAACATTTAGTCCCTGCCTCAAAGGGAACACAGTTCGTTTCCATAACAATGAAGAACTAGCTAATGATATTTATCCAGCGTTAGCATCGCTGACCCAAGACGTAGCGATGTGGATGATCTAGCTCTTCTTGACGTTTAGATACAGATGTGATAAGATATGCTGGAGATGGCTGATTAGTTGTCCTTAAAGATGCAGTATCCAGGTCAAGGCAACTGTGCTTACAAGTGAAATCATTAATCGATTCACGAATTTGTGAAAACTCGCCTCCGGACTAGAAATTACATCACATCCTTTCGACCATGGACAAAGTAATACGGAGAATCAAAGTGGAAGTTCATGGTATTCGCTGCCAAGGGGAATGTAAGCGGACCCTTCAGGGAAGTGTTTTGACATGGTTGTTATTCGGTTTACATAAGCGAATTTATTGTCTCTTCTTGTCGTCAAGATTTTACTTAATTGGTTACTACAAAACAAGTCTTTAGGTTGTCAGTCAGTGGTCCAGGAGTATAGGGCGGAGCAATGTACAATATCAGGCAGATTTACTAGTTCCATCATCTGCTATTCCTAATATCTTTCCTTTAGCAAGCTGACGTTTAGCTCATTGGACCAAGCTTGGGTCACAAGAACGCCCACGTGTTAGGACTGATCTTACGGAGAGTAAAGGTGGCGGAGGGAGTGTCTGAAATGAACTAAGAGAGAATAAAAAGGTGAATCCGCATCCTGGATGCGAGGTTAGATGGAGAGGGAAGGACAGGTGGCAGGTGTAAGCTTTTCGGGGAGCATTCTTCTCCATGTCGTTGCTTAGTTACAGGCTGTTTCAAAAGTGCTCTCCCGACTGCGCCACAGTCCGCGCGATGTACGGCAAGGTTTACACAGCGCAATAACCCAGAAGACGGATATCTTCATACTCACCGCTGTGAGAACCTCAAGTCTTACAAAGGTTTGTTTTGTTTTTCTTTTGTCTAAATACCGTGGGTCCCCCAAAAGAGATAAGTAATATGAAAGGATATGTAAAAGCTGCTGTGAAGGGAGAAAATAATACGTAATTAAATACAGCCATGCGTTCTCGTAATTATACTTATCAGACCCCGGGATATTAGCTATTTTCTCAGGTAATTTTTCCAGTACGTTAGTTAGCCCGATGTCATACCAGATTGCTTTATTACTGCGATTATTTCATCTTCGTTTCTGCGTACTTCCTGTGACATGTGTTTATATGATTATTTAATATTTCTTCAACTGCACAGGTTAATCGACCTGTCGCGTCAAAGACACGAGAATTATGAATTATGAAACGCGAAGGATGTGGGAGAAAGCGGTGGTCGCCAGTTTTAAGGCACTGCTCATATATTTTCCCGGGGCCGCAAGGGAGCACCACGAGTCTTGTCTGGGCTGAGGTTGTCGAGCTCTTTCAATCTGCCTCAGCCTCATCCTTGACCTCGGTCCGGAGTCAAGTTGTGGATTTTTTATCTCCACATGACATTGGCACCCTAAACCCTGTCCTTTGGCACGCCAGTAACTGGGGGAAAAAGCGTCCAAAACATTTTCCCAACTTTGCATGTAGGTGTTTGAAGAGAAGTACGAGCAAGAGAAATTTAAGTGAAGTGATATCTCGCAAATCGGCACGTGACTGACTACGGCCTGGAGGAAAGGATTCGGTTTTCCGACGGTGTTGAGATTGGTCCAGATTGGCACCGTGGCACATGTAGTGGAAAAAGTTACCTCTTTCTCAGTTGTAAAGCGATCAGAATGTCGTAGTTACCGTCGAAAAGCTTCTGTTGGTAGGACTGAAAATGCTTGCACTTTCGTAGCAAGGTCAACTTTATCTAAACTGGTTTTTATTTTATTAGACAACAAATAATAACTTGAAACTTTCTATTTTTACAACAGTTCGATTACTTATTGATGAAGTTAATTTATTTGTATACAGTAGCCTGTATCTCCAGGCAATACTTTTAATTTTGGCAAATGGCCTGATGTACAAATGTTCATTGTGCATTTCTGTTAAGTCCTTTAATCCATTGATATTTTATTTGGTTTTATCTGACGAAACTAACAATATATCATAAAATTAATTTAAAATGCTAGAGTAAAACCTTCGATCTTCTCATGCGTATACAAACTCTTTTTTAAATAAATGATTTCTTCTTTCCTTCAGTGGCGTTTCCTACGTTCATATGACACGTCACCCGATCGGGCGGACCTACAACTGTCATTGTATGACAGATTTGCGTTTGTTGATATGTTGTCTAGCTTGAAAGGAGCGGGAAATTTTTTGATAAACTTAGGCTTAAATAAAAAAATGTTCTCCGTAAATGAGTGGTCTGTTGAGTGAAGCATATTTTGTAACTATTTAATGCATTCTTGGTGAATTCATTCATGATTATATAGCCTCACTGCAGATATCAAATTTAAGCAGTTTCATGTATAACTATATAACCTTAGCTCAAAATCTTCTCAGTGTGGACCAAAACGAATGTTTTCCGTCAGTGTTTCTCGAAAGATTTAACATACGTAACAACGAATAAAATGTGATACGAGGCGCGTCCTCAAAGTAAGTTTCCCTGGGGCCGTTTACAGAAACAAAACACAATTTCATGGAAATATTTATTGCAACAGATACAGCAAGTGTCCAGCTATTTTTCAACATATTCGCCACCGGAATTGAGACATTTGTCATACCGTGGGACCAACTTTTGAATACCTGTGTCGTAGAAGTCTGCCGCCTGGGATTGGAACCACTGTGTGACAACCATCTCCGCCTCTCTTTCATTCTCAAAACGCTGACGCTGACGCTGACCGGACAGGAATTTCTTGAGGTGTAGGAAAAGATGGAAATCACTGGGAGCGAGGTCCGGGCTGTAGGGTGAATGATTAAACACCTCCCAGCTGAACTCCTGCAGGAGACTTGCTGTCCGTCGAGCCGTGTGCGGCCTAGCGTTATCACTGACCGCACTTCACAGTCGGCGGGGGCTGGAATAAGAACCTCCATCTTCAACAGCTGCAACGATGCTACTGTGAGAACGCGGGAAGTGCCGTTAGTGCATGCGCCATGCTACGTCATTGCTCTATCACGTACGCACAGTCGCTTCGCGCAATATAAGGTTTGCTAGCTGTGGGACGAGTGGGAAACTTACTTTGAGGACGCGCCTCGTAACATTATTGAAGTCTTGATCAATTTTTTTTTCGTTTCGTAGGCCTGTGTTGAATTGTTTTTGAATCGTTGTTGCCACGGTTCTTCTCAGAATACCCGTCTTCTTTCTTTGCGAACGACGTTTGGTTTTGCATAACCGCCGTTTTGATTTGTATAGCCCTCTCACCGAAAAAAGTCGATAGCTCCTGCAGCTACAGATCACATCTACTGGGTGCGGGGATGATGTGCTGCTAAAACTAGTTCTGTAGCGTCCAGACTACCGTTGCCACACGTCTGGCGCGAAATAGTTAAATTCCTACAATATGTATTCCAATGATACATTTTTTCTGATCAAGGAAGATGCAACGTGTCACGTTTCAATTAGTGTTAACTGCGACTGTAGTTCTTATAACCACAAATTTCCGATAGAGATTTCAGTATCTGACCGCCTTGGTTGGTCACAGATGGCTGTGGTTCACTTTTTGGTCGCTCTTGTTGTGAATTACTCGTTTGTAAAATGGTTATCTTGGTATTTATAATATGAGCATTAAGACACATCTGTTAGTAAGTAGTTAAATAACTTTTAACTGCGGAAAATAAAAGTACTTTTAACTGACTTCATCAAACCGAGTCCTTCAGAATCTGATTTTCGCGTAGGTGGCTAATAATTCCACACCTTATATGCAACCGTGTTTACAAACACTCCGCCGCTGGTCTCCAACATGAGCCCAATGAAACAAGTCCACACCCTGCCTCTCAATTCTTTAAAATTAATTTTAATGTTACGATCTCACTACGCCTAAGTGGTCTCTCCCCTACAACCTTTCCAGTTATATTTCAAGTGCATTTCTCACCTCCTGCATGTGGGCTGTTTGTTCCATCCGTATCATTCTTCATTTGTCATAATATTTATTGAAGAGTGTAAATTATGAAGCTCCTCAGTGCGCAGATTTCTCCCGTCTCATGTCATATCTTATCGATGCATATTACTATAGAGTTTACGTATATGAAAATAAAAATACCGATCTGTGAAGAGTGGTATAAACATTATTTACATGTAGCTTATACAAATACATACTGTCTACACACTATTTTGCAGTATTGCACGATAAAGAGTAAAAAAGAAGACACGATGAGGAGACGAAGGAAACAGAGGTCGGTATAGCACAGTTTTCTTTCTTTCTTTCTTTCTTAAAATACACAGTACGATAATCTCTCCAGCAGGATTTGCCATTCTTTAATCGACACTGAGTTTTCTGAACGAACCCTCGAATCCAAATAAGTCTCCGCTGTTGACAGCCTTTCCCGCTCTTTTAGATTCATCAGATTTCATGTTATCTTGTTCCACGAACCAATCTCGATAACTCTCCAGCTTTTTTAACCAGGCAGCTAAGAAAAAAAGAGATAGAATTCAGCTTTTCTGTGTACATGAAGAACAAGCAGCATGCGGTCGCCATTAACTTCCTTGATTACTTACACCAGTGATCAATAAGAGAGCCATTTTCACCGCCATATTCACTAGGTAGAATCTTCGTCGAGATCATCTTATGTAGAGATGCATATCCTTTTGTGTGGACATGTATCTGAAAAGCAGCAACAGTAAAGTGAATTATTATTAATTAATTAATTATTACTTATTGAACTAAGTATACTGTTGTATAGAACTACAGGGTAGAATTTCATCCTTGAAATTGTCTAGCTGCTCTTAGATTTTATATAGCATCAGTTGAAGCCTGGTCTTGATCTCTCAGCGATCGTCATCTTTAATTGGCTGCTGTTCAGATCTAGTGATTTATTATTGCATGCATTTCGTACTCCAATATTTGACCCTTGTTAACATTCGTTACTTAAGATAAATTAATCTGGTTTTCTACTGACCCTGGAAACCAGCTTCGGTTTTAAGACCATCTTCAGAAGGTTTACCATAGCGTCAGCAAATGGAGGAACGTTGACGAGATGGATCTCCTTGATTCTCATGTTGAAACCTTTCTGTAAAATAAGATTATGAGAAGGCTGACAAAAATTGTGAGTGAGGAGATTCAGTATTTGCACTCTTTGACCGTGAATGTTGAAGGGGGGTCAAGTAAAGAGGAATGGGGCGGCCGGGACATGTAGCACGCATCAAGGAAATGAGAAATATAGCCAACATTTTTGACGCAAAAGGTCTAAGGAAAGAGGCCATTTTGGAGACCAAAACTTTGGTTGATATTAAAATATGAGACAAATACAGTGATTGAATATGGATTGTATTCATCTGTAATGGGATGTGGTTTAGTAATGGTCAGAATGTTCTGATTTCAAATGAAATAAATTTTCGTTCTGATAAGCAAGTACTAACTCTTTAAGAAGGCATCTTCACTGTAGAGTCATAATAATAAACTAAACACAATAAAATTGAGATAAAAATATTACTAGCAAGGGAAAATAAGTCTATAAACACCACGGACATTAAATTCAGTCTCAGTAATTCCCGTACTCTTATAAGCGAAAGGAATATTACGGAAGCCAAATCCATGCTGGAATGTTACGCAGATATGTTCATTCAAAGCATCTACTACATAGATCGGAATAGCAGGTTAAATAACTGAGAAACTGTCAGAACGTAGTGTACCATTGCACACACTTCCATCTTCTTCAGAAGAGGAAAAGTGACTTTAGTGATGTGTCCGACTGTGAACCTGTTGTAGTCCATAATGTAGATGTCTGAGACACAGTAGTCCTCACACATCCTAACTTCCTGCACCATGAAGCACAGCTTCAGTATGTCGAGAACGATGGTGTTGGCTGGATCAGGGTCCAAACAGCCCAGCGCTGTTACTCTGCTGTAGTCTGTCGTTAGTTGTGATAAGGGACAAACGAATCTGCAACCATTCACATCATATTTCTTTGGGTAAAGTTTTTAGACTGAGTGACTTTACTGTCTGATCAATTATACGACTACGTGACTAGTTAGGTATGTAGCATGCATTAGGCACATACATTCATACTAAATTTTAGTCAGAAACATAAAGAAACCGAAAACATGGAAGACATGGTGTATGCGTGTATGAAATTAAAGTAGTTCGTAGAGAAACATAGTGTGAAGTTGTAGAATGGATGGAACTGGCTCAATACCAGTTCTGTGTGTTCCTTAAAATTAGAGAATTTCCTGACTGGCCAGAGATCCTATCAGAATTACGTATACTAGAGCTCTGCGTCTTGTGCAATATGTATACGAAGACCCAACAGGATCTTCGTTAATTCTGAAGGTCAGAAAAGTGGTATTTTGTTTAAATTGATCAGCTTCTTACGCCACATTGACAACCTTCCTGAACCAGGGACTTCTCGGATCTCTGTTTAGTAGTATGTCCGGGGAGAGTGTCTTCAGGGCGTAGTACATGTCCACAGAAGTTTTGGTTCGCTCTAGACTGTTTTTACAGCGTATGATCCATCTTTCCAGTCTCCCGTCGTCTGTTCAGACAGATAACACAGAATATTACAAACCACACTGACTTCGTCAGGGTATTATGAATTTTGGAAACTATCTCTTTTGACTCATTCCCACGGTTAAAATGATGCGCATAATTGTAATTAATTTATCGTTTCCGCTAGACTGACGATATCGAATGAGGCGATTTGATAGCAGTAGGCGTCACACATTCTCGTTCTGTACTGGAAGTAACTATTAGCACGAATCACCTCTCCACTCACCGCAGACAAGAGGCAGATGAGGCTGCATCTTGAGCCAGTCTTTAATCACCTGCACCGCGAGGTTCATCCCTGCCTCGTCCAGCCCGAACTCTGCTCTGACGCGTTCCTTCAGTTCATTGGTAGGGATCAGGAGTACCATCGTGGACAGCGACCTGATGTACTCGTTCCTTCAGTTCATTGGTAGGGATCAGAAGTACCATCGTGGACAGCGACCTGATGGACTTGTAATACTGTAAAGAAACGGCATATTACGTATTTTTATTGTGCCTTGGTTCATGAATAAGAAAGAAGTTCGCATGCTAAGGAACACAGCGATAAAATTGTCATTTTGTATTATTTGAAAGAGGAAAGTCTCCTGCTTTCTGTGTTCACCATACAGTCTCCTGCGGGGAATTTAACACAGTAACAGCAAAGAGCTAAGAGAAAAGTAATTCTGAAAAGATTGCAGCCATTCAGGTCCTGAAATTTCTTTAAACATTTGCATTCTCAGTGTGAATTCTACAATTTTAAAAGTTTCATATGTGTGTAAAATCTTTGTCCTTCATTGCATGCATAGTCGTTAAGAAACCAGTCTGTTTTGAGCGTGTCGTAATACCATTCATACTTTGCAAACCTAAAGAAAACACCTGAAATTTAATGCGCTAAACGAATATTTTTTGTATGCGTTTCGTACGTCAGAGACAATTTAACAGCTTTTGTAGGCTGGCCAGTTGTTAGGCAACATCTGTCTTCTATTACATGCTATTAACAGATTTTTTGCGGCACGTAAGACCTATTTTGTCTTCGAATGGCAAAGTGATCTGAAATTAGTTGACACCATTCCAGATTATTCACATTTTATTGTCGGCTTTTACAACTGACCCCAAAAGTAAAATATTCTGGATGTGTCAGAAAATCTAAAAGTGCTGGCTGCCGCTTTATGTCTGTGCAGACATAAACGATAATAATACTGATATTTATATTGTTAATGCCCCTTAGACTCTAGTAAAGACGGCCTAAAAATGGAAGCAGATTCAAGTAAGTAATCCATGTCGTGTCACACGAATACGGGACAGCATCTTGATGCAGGCCTGCTAGCGGCATATTAATGGAAAATAATTTATTTCGTATCTTAAATCCCTTCGTCCTTCCCCTTATTCAATTCGTATCATCATATTCCCCCTCCGTTCTCTTGTATTGTAATCATTCTACACTTATAAAAACGAGTGGACAATGTTAGCAGTGCTGCATATTAGAAGCACTTATAAAAGCTGCCTAATGATAAAACAAAACGTTTTGCCGCCTAGCGTTTTGTAACATTTAGGCCCCTGTGAGTGCAAGCATATTTTTGTACAACACAGATTAGTAACTCCATAGATCCGTGTCTGTGTTTTTACACATCCGTCCATTATGCCTGCCCGTCCATTTATTCGGCTGATAATCCAGCTAACAAACTATCTGATCGTAACTTAGTGTGTATCGCAGTACCACGCTTCTTTCTTCGGACACAAGGTCCACTCTGAAGGATCATCATAGACCTAATTATTACAAAAGATCACAATATCAATGTTTTCTCAGACATTTCGAAAGAATTCACAGTATCACAAGTCCATTCTCGTCAGATCCATTGCGATGTCATCTTCGTAGCTACATTTAAGTCTTCGAAATTATCACGATACTTAGTATGAATCTGAAGGATGTGTAACTTAAACAGTTTTACCCCATGACCTTATAATCTCGTGCGTTTCTCATCTTATCAATTTCAGAGAAGCGTGTAAACATTGCATCACTGGTTTCGTATCTTATGAATAATTTTACACTTGACATCATTATGTAAAAGCGAGCACGTGCATGAATTAGAATAATGCATTTGTGAAACGGCTTACGAAAATTACGAGGTTTCTATTTTACAAAGAATGTGATATAGTAGCAGCACTTAAAAGTTCAAAGTTGTTGCTATGGGAACTCAACAGTAGGCATAATCATTAGCCACTTACACCCACATCTCATCTTAACAGCCTGCCCCCTTAAGGTCCATCTTAAACGCTGACCTTCCAGCTCTCCTCTGGATCTTCCAGACGGCCGTCGTCCACTAACAAATTGCTTCTTACGTGTCCCAGACGGCCGTCGTCCACTAACAAATTCCTTATTACGTGTTACACACTGCTCATTTTCCTTATCTTGCTTACGTCCGAACGTTTTCCTGAACACTTTGATGCCTTAACACTTGTAATTTATGTCGTTCATTAATGTTCAAAAGGCTTGTACATTAATTCGTTTATATGTTGGTCTCCAGTTTTTAGTCCGTCATTATTATCAGTAATCAGAATTTAATATCTAACTCCTTGTGCCCCTTATGGTTATACAGTCTACAACAACAATCTGTAAATGGATTTCTTTCGATTCTCAAAACAAACTGCGATTAATCCCATAAACAGCATTAAACAATTGATCTTTGGAATTGTCGATTCTCAAAACAAACTGCGATTAATTCCATAAACAGCATTAATCAATTGATCTTTGGAATGTGAACGTGTTGTTTTCTTTGCTATACGTACTACGTTTAAATGTTACTCAGATGAACGTGGTTCATTGAACAGTTAATGTAATATGACAGAGAATACTCACTCGGTAAAATTGACGTCTTGCTCTGTATTGCGGCTTGTACTAAATGTATCGCATTTGTATGCGGAACTATTACGCAGTTGCCAACTGCTGGAAGTGATGCTGTGTCAAGGAAGGTCACACCAACAGGTTCCCCTACTATACGCTCCGAGTTACGTAACGGATTGCGGAACACACTATAGTTTCGATGCATTAATAACTATCACTTATAGGCGTAATTCTATGTTGTTATGCGCCGTCCTCTTGCCTGTAAACTGAGTTTATGTAACGAAATTACTTTGTGAAGGTTGTGTACCCTGGGCAGACTACAGACACGTTGCGTTTCATGCAAGTCCAGCTATAGGCCTGGCACATAACTGTTCCTAACTTCGCGAGAATAAATCAAATGGTGCAGAAGTCGCTAACATTCCACTTGTTCTGTCCATGATGGTGACAGTGAACGTTCAGATTCACCGACTGGCACTTGGCTCCGTATTTGGGATGTCGGTAGTTCAGTTTATGAAATCCCATCCATTTCTTCTTTGTGCACGTCTTGCACAAAACATATAAATTGGATGCATAATTGAGAGCAAATTCTTTGATAATAATGACAGGCGGTGTGGAATGCTGTTGATATTTAACTTCTTCGCCACTTCAGACAATGTCTGGGCCTATCCCAGTGGAAACTGGCAGCCATTTTACAGGAACAAAGGCATCTTGAACGATAAGCTGACCACATGTCCTTCATCTAGAGCCAAAGTTAAGAATGCATGGCGCTTTACCTCCGCGCCTGCCTTTTCACATTCAAGTCGTAGCCTTCTTAATGTGTCATTGGCATAAGCATGCTGTTTGATATTTATCTCTTCAAAACACCAATAGAAATGTCAAGGAAGTAACGTCAATGTACTGTCATAGGCAGAATTATAATATGCTGTAAATAAGCTGACCTTGTCCTGACATTCACGCTCGTGGCCTTCGAACCAGCACTGATCGCGGCATTGGCAGTGAGCAGAGATTGCTCCGGTCACCGGCTGAGAGAACTGGCTTTATACTAAGCGCACTTATGCTTTAGGTCTGCCTTGGGTGCATGGCCATTCGAAACAGTTAGGTTTATACCGATCTCACCAATCATAATTCGTGATTATTACTCCTTACCAATTACAATTTCTCATCACTTCGGCCCCGAATGAAGGAGGGATGAAGCATCTTCCTCCGAAACGCCTGTAATATTTACAACTTCGATGTAGTGCATTACTCAGACAAATACACAAATACCAGATCTGGAATTTAATATGATTCTCTCGAACTAATGTGACTGGATTTCTATAAATACTTCTAAGAATCTTGGATTAAAATTACAAGGCTTTACGGCAGAAGAAAATTTCGTGACAGCAAACGCATAAGTGAGAAAGAAACATCGAAGAGAGATGACCACCAGCTGTTAAAACTGTGTTTAGATTTCATGCAGGCTTCTCCTTCGACACATGTTCCAGATCCTCCTACACAAAAGACACAGCGAACTCGAAAAAGTTTCAGACACGTTTCCTATGCTTGGCACTTCCTTTATCTACTATAATCCCGTTTTCTTATTCTCCGCCCCCGATGTTAAAAGTTGATCTCATTTCTGTGAAAGCCCGCCCTGGTAGACCCTCGTCACACGATCAGTCAGTATCGACGGACGTTCTGACACTTCGTCTTGCTGAGGTCGGCAAATTCTCTGTAACTCAACTTACCACACAGTAAGCAGAGTTTGGTGTAAAGTGGCGGCCAGATCAGTTTTCTTACCCGCTTTTATGTTGTTAACTAGTAATAGGTTAGATCTAGGCATTCAAAGAATTTCATTAAAATATCTCATAAACATGCCTACATATTATACGTTAAACAGTTTTATCATCATTTACAAACATGACAACTATTCGATACTTTGACTCAGGCTATATTTTACAAATTTAACGTATCTGGGTTATGCTGGAAAGTGGTAGTTGTGTAAAAGTGTGTACAGTCTCGCTAAGTTAGAAACGCTGACGCAGAACAGAAATCGCGTAATATTCGCCTAGCAGGGATTCGAATCGAAACCCCAAACCCCGCGCTTGATGGACCGTCTCTACTACAGCCGATCATCAAAGGATTTCTACCAAACGAGAATCTACACCTGACACCTCGTACGCCTTCATAGCACGGTACTTAACTAAGGAACATGACCACCTTTATACCTTTCGTTGCCCAGAACTCTGCGGTCTGAGGAAACGCGTGTTAGAATTGACCACGTGATAATTCTGTAAAAGTAAATGCCAATAAATGATTAATTTAATGAATTTAAATAATAGGTGGATACAAATTTTGGAACACCCTCTTCTTGGTTTCTCTACTCCCGTGTTTATCTGTTTTTTCTTTAGTTGTTTATCCTGGAGTAACCTGGCAGTTTGATGTTAAGGACACACATTCTGTTGCACTCATTCCTAGTTGCTACTATTTGCCCCCCTTTCCCCATTTGCAAGCTCGAGTGTTTTTCCTCAGCCCCCTTATTCTGAAACGTTTTCACCAGTGCACTAATGATACTTAATTTCCTGAAAGTACATTCGCTTAGAAATTGGAGTAGGCCTGCAGGACATGGCTCTAGGATACGCTTGAATCCACGGTAGCATGTCTTGTTTCCTCAGTCCTCGTACCACATTTCTCTCTAGGCAGAAGGTGTCTCATTCTCGCATATCCTTTCATCCAAACTAATAAAGCCGAGGGGTGAGGAGTACGAAGCAACAGATAGTCCCTTTGTTAGGGGAATTTGTACTTCTAATTTAGAGCAAACAAAGCGTTTGTACATGCGGGCGGGGCAATTATTTGTCGGCGTTTTAAATTCCCTTAGTACTAATTTAAACTCAAAAGGTGTATAACTTAAATTTGTAGCCTCTAATTAGAGGCTCGTTAAGATAATTTGTATTTTCTTTCGTTTTTCATATGTGAATCTCTCTTCCTCGAGTTGGAACGCCAAAGTAGCACGCAATCTGTTTGTCCCTCTTGTAAGAGAATATTTTCCGCCATCTAGATGGATTTTCCTTTTGCCAAATTTTAGACAAAAAAAGACGTGATGGAGTGGTTAACACTCTACTTGCTATTCTGTATACCCTGGGTTCGATTCTGGGCTTTGAGGTGTTTTCTCAGTCCTTCAGAGTGAAAACTGAGCTTCTAGGCTATCTTGAAGTTCACCACAACTTCTTCCATTCCATTTTCTACTTTCTTATTAAACGCAGTCATTCGCTGGTTAGAACGCTACGAGCTGTAACTTACCTAACTGAGAATTCATCGTTAAATAAAGCAACAGGTAGTTAATTTTGAATACCCTCTTTTCAAGCTTCAGTGTAAGACACGTGTTGAGTAATGATATGATATCCTGTGTTCCACGCAATTACAACTTGAAAATTAACAAAGTCACTGCAGTGAACTCAAACGCGAAATCATTCAAAAGGACTGAGACGTTTTAGTGGTATGTTAGCCGTGGCACGGTGGCCCTCGTGAGAAAAAGTTCCCCTTCACCTCTTAATACCACCACGTTCCTCTACTTACAAGACGATATTTGAGGATATACGGAGCGTTACATCACTAACACCTATACAACATTGTGTGATTATCAGTCATGTGACCAATGAAGTATTGCCACCTGTGACCTGCCTTTAAGAATAGGTTTTAAATCAGCATAATGAACACTAATATTAGTCTAATTCAGGTTAAGCTGCATATAATTGTAGACAGAGCTAACTACGTAGATTTATATGCCCTTCAAGAAAACGCACCATATTTCCTCGACTTCGCTACAAGGGAGGCACTGTAGATGTAGGTTCAGTGCTAGTAGCTGCACTAATGACATTTATGGACCTACATAAATAACAGGAATATAATCTCCCATCCTGTTTCTCCATACTGAAAGTAGGATGGGTTAAACTGAAATACACTACTTTAAAATGTTCATTGTTCAGATACACCTGTAATATGGTTAATTTATGTAAATATATCGTACAAGTTGCCATAGTTGTATGAAACAGTGATTGACTTCATCACGCTGCCCGTGTCTCAGTATGGAACGGGAATTTAAACAATATAATTAATTTAATTTACTTTATTTTGTTTATAATGTTATATTAGAGCAGTGGGAATGCGAGGGTCGATTTCATAAGTCGGAACACAGTATAAAGTTTTCTTATACCAGTTAATTCAATAAAATGTAACACTACATTCGATGTGTTACGTGCCTCATAAGCAGATATTGCAATAAATACAAGTCTTTCGAGCAGCACTTTTAAATATTTACTGATTAATTAAATTAAATTTACCCAGTTGTATGATACACATTCGTGACATAATTGTGACGTCATGTCCCATATTGTCGTTCACACACACACGCTATGCATATTGCCAAATGTTAAATGCCACCTGGGATACAATTAAAATTAATACGCCTATACACGGTTCAGTTCATTGCAAATAAATACATGGACCTGGCGTACATATTTTTTCGATTCCTAACTTATTTTCCAAATTGATGCAGATATTAAGAGCATATTAAGTAAGAGAAATGATTACTGCTCTTAAATTCGGAATCTCGTCTTTCCGTGTCCCGTCTGAAAACATAAATATTAAAACGTACAAAACTGTAATTTGAGACTCTCTGTATGGGTGTGAATTTTGGTCTCTCGCCGTTGTGGAACGACACAGACTGAGGCTTTTTGAGAATGGGGTGTTGAGGAAAATTCTTGGGCGGTCGTGGGAGAAAGTAGAAATTTCCATCACGAATGTGTTTATGATTTGCGTTTTCCACCGAACGTGATTAAGGTGAGAATGTTCGTGAAGATAAAACGGGCGGAGCATGTAGCACGCATCGAGAGATTAGAAATGCGTGCAGAAGGACGCTGCTTTTGGGACAAAGGCCTAAATAGGAAGATGATTCAGTGCGTTTGTTGATAATTTTGAACTCAGTTTTAGAGCGTTAAGTGCAATAGCAGCGAAGGAAATACAAATAAGCTTGAAACAGTAAAACCAATATTATTTATGGTGTTCCGTTACTTGCAACAAGTCCGTTTACAAACTAATTGCCATTTAAACACAGAGCACTACCTCATTAGTTCCTTGTTTTACCTTCTCAAATCTTTTCTGTGATTTGGGTTACCGTCTTTTATTGAAATCTTACCGCAGTGGAAGAACTTTTTTAAACTCTCTCTCCTCTTCTTGAAAGCTACTAAAGAAGAAATCAAGAAGTCTTCCTTGATTTTCCACTTTCTCTTCTCATTCAGTTCACTCATTGCTACTTGAAACAGACTCACGTACGCGAAGAGCTAAAGTATTGTTAGAAGAAACCACAAGAAGGTTAAAGGAAAAAAAAAATCCGTCGATGCCATTCTGCTTCCGATTTGTGGTAGATCCGTTCGGTTTTGCATTATCAGAGAGAGAACGACGCAGAGAAGGAAGCAAGAATACTCCTTTGTCTTTCTGTGCTGAATGATTTTGCTCACTTCTTATATTCCTGACTGTGAAGGGTTCTTTCTTTCTTTATGCGTATTTTCTGGACAGATATTAGGAACGGACGGTGACCTGGGGTGGAAATGGTATTTCTGTAAAGACGACAAGCCCTTCACCGATATAACGCAATTGAAATCAATACAAACGGGAGACCGGAACATACTACGCCCTAATCCGTGAAGGAAGAAGAAGGAGGAGAAATACATGCGGTTTTATTTCTAAATTCATATAGAATTGTAGTAAAAAAAAACTTGAAGAAAAAATACACTTGGGATATATAGGGATAGATGGGAAGATAATATTAAAAGGTATCTTAAAATAGGATATCGACTAGATATGGTAGTAAACTATTTGAGTTGCATATAAAAGGCGGCAAAATTTTGACTAGCTAAGCGAGCGACTTCTAGCTTTTGAAGAGGGACTCTGGCGAACGTTTCCGACTTTCGGAAGGTACTTGATGCCTCCATCATCAGGATAGTGAGTGATTATGAAGGCAGCAAGTTCTTCTGAAACTTCGGTAAACTTGAATCAGACTGCGCGGGAGTACAATTCAGGACACAGTTGTTTTCAGCTTAAGTTTAGTAACATGAGTTTTTTTAGATTACTTAAAGGATCGTCTTTCTTGAGAATGTAATAATTAAATAGCTTATCATACAAGACCCTTCCGTGTGAAACGCGAACGTCCATTCCCGTGTTCACGTAAATATGGCGATGTTGCCAGCCAATTGAATCAACTTTACAACTTTTTCATTGTTTCTGTTAAGACCCATTTTAAATTTTTTCTCCCAATGCATCCAAAATAATTATCTTCCTTTGAGGTTTTCAGACTAAATTTGTTTATGAATTTCTTCTCATGTTTGCTCTATGCCCCGCCCATATCATTGTCCTTTATTTAAGGAACGCAGTATCATTTAGTTAAGAAGAGTTCAAGGCACGAAGCTCCTCTTGTGCTGTTTTCTACGTCTTCCTATTACGTCCTGTTCCTTAGCATAATTAGAATGGTTCCAGAAGAATTTAGCTGCACTGCAGCGCACGACCGGTCTGTGTTGGTAATATTCGTTGATTGGGCCAGAAGAGATGTTCATTCCGTGTTTCTCTTACTTGACGGCTCCGTTCGTAGTTTTCTTCTCCGTGTTTCCACTTTCAATTTAAGAGCACGTAGATTAGAATACGTGACATTTGCTTTGCTTCTTCCCCCCCCCCCCCTCCCCACAACCATTTTACTCGTATTCTCTCTCTCCGTTCGTTTCTTCTTACATACATTTCAATCTAACATCTTTCTTAATTTAAAATGTGGAGTTTGTACTTAGTCCGGGCTGCTCCTTGGTTTTCGTCTATCCTCGTATGACCTTTCACTGCCATATTTCCGTCTGTCTGAATTATGTATAATCTCTGCAGTTGAAATATCGTTGTTATGTGACTTCAATCAGTAGCTATTGCCATGAACTTAATCGGCCTATTAACTTTTTAACAATTAATGCGCTCGATAACAATTTCATTGAAAGTCTTTATGTTTATTGTAATACGCATTTCTGCTTTAAATATGCCATTCGCCACTCCCTTACGAAGCTGTAAAAGACAGGACATGATCTTGATGCACATGTGTGTAATTTAGAGAATTATAGAAGGGGAAATATGTGAAGGGGATCAAGAAGATATGGGGGAAGATGGAGGAAAAGGAATGATAATAAGAAAAAGAAAAGAGGGAGGTTGGTAGGAAGAATAAATTAATGAGTACAACAAGGAAGAGAGAAATGAGACCGTATTGTACTTAAGAGTGGATCTCTAATGATTAGAAATAAAACAACGAAGTCCGATCATGCAAATGTGACAAGTCTGTAAGTTGTCTGGGTTGCCCTGCGGGTTAGGACTTCTAAAAAAACTTTATTTTGAATGCAGCTGTAAAGTGTCATGCAAATGACAGCGCTGTTGATGGATCACGAGAAATTCTCTGTAGGAACTAGAGTAATCGGTGTTTAACTCGTGCTCTGGCATTGTGACTTGGGAAGAAGAAACATCAACCCAGACACATGTCAATTAGGCAGATGGAAATGTTCACAACACATCGTCATCCCGGTAAATTTTGGAAGTATCCGAGAAAGGCCGAGTTCTTTTATCAGGACGTCTTTGGTCTGCCGCCGACTCATGGAATGTTTACATGGGGAGCATCTCTTTAGGAAATCCTAACAATACTTCCGTATTATTAATATCTGTAGACTGATCTGCGAAAGAACCGACTTGCATGTTCTTAAATCCTTCACCGCTTAGTGACTCCTTTCAGTCAGACCAGATTAATGTGGTAT